ACACACACACACACACACACACACACACACACACACACACACACACACACACACACACACACACACACACACACGCTCACCACACCACACACACACACACGCATTCACACCCACAAACATACAAACACACACACACACACACCTGCGACGCGGTTGTGGAAGCGGGATGCCGGGTACGCGCGCTCGGAGCAGAGGTTGTAGACCTTGTAGTGTGAGGCGTGGTTCTCCTGCAGCATGCGGTAGACGTCTTCGTAGCTGTTGCGGTACACGGCCTCCGTCCCCTCCGCAGGGTACCCCATCGCAATGATGCGCGGCGTGATGTCTGCACGCGCAGTCGATGGATGCGTGTGTGTGTGTGTGCGTGTGTGTGTGTGTGCGTAGATGTGTGTGTGTGTGAGCGAAGTAGACACACTCACTCACAAACAACACACATGCAGACACGCCTGCACACGCGGGCATGCAAAGCAAGGAGAGCACGCGCTTGCGGCAGCAACAGCTCGCGCATCAACACCACCCCACGGAACCATCGTCGTGCAAACGCACATGTGAGATCGAGGTCGAATCCATCGCGCTGATAGCGGACCTGAGACGCGCACAGGCGGCGCAGAGCAGGCGGCGCAGGGCAGGGCAGTGCAGGAGGGAAAGGATGGTGATGGCGGGTGTGACGTGAGGGAAGCGGAATCACGAGATAACAACCAACACGCACACACGATCACACACACACATCAAACACGATCACACACACAGACACAAAGACACAGACACAAAATCACACACACACACACACCAAACACGATCACACACACACACCTTCTTCTTTGAGACAAGCTTGCGGACGGTGTTGGTGAGCGAGGGCCCCTTTGCCAGCGACACCACGCGGCTGGCGAATTTCCGCGTCACAACGGGTCGTTGCTCCACACTCGTCAGATTCCGCTCTTTGCTCGCAGCACTCACGCGCAGTTTCTGTTGTGTGTGTGTGTGTGTGCGTGCGATTGTGGTGAACATATCACGACCTATCCATTCCCATCGCATGTCAGGTCAACAGACACACACACGCACGCACGCACACATGCACACACACACACATGCACACACACGCACACACACACACCTACCTCCATCCACGCTTCGCGATCGGCGCCAGAGAGCGCGGCGAGTTTGTACTTGCTGTTGATGGCGAGAACAGGTGGCACAAGGACGAGGTGAGAAAAGGTAAGGACGACACTCAATGACACACCAGCTACAACTGCGCACGCACACATACACACAACTGCACACACAACCCTCCTCCCCACACATACACACAACACAACACAACCACACACACAGCATCACCACAGCACCTGCGCTTGTTGCTGACGGTGCCTGGTTCGCACGAGACGTAGAGGTGGAAGCTGTGGGGGCGACGCGCGTCATCCGCCGGCGTCACCTGCCATTATCATCATCGTCATGATCATGATCATGATCATGGTGGTGGTGGGGGTGGTTGAGTAGTGCACTTGTTGTGGGCATTGGGTTGTTGTTGTTGTTGGGAAGCGTCAAGTGAAAGGGTACAGAGGAAGACAGGAACAACCATCGACAAGAAAGCAAGCAAGGCTAAACCCGTCACAAACGCAAGCCAACAGCACCGGCACCATTGGGAGTACACACCTGCCCGCCAAACACATCGATGACATTGATGAACCGCCCACCGCGGTGCGGCTGCAGAGAATCACACGAATGCACGGGTGGTGGAAGGAGACGGTGAGTTGGCGAAAATACACACACACACACATACACACACAAGCACACACAGACACACACAAGCACACACAAGCACACACAAGCACACACAAGCACACACGACAACACACACACACACAAGCACACACAAGCACACACACACACACACACACCTCGCGGTCGTAGTATTCGAGCATGTTGAATTCGGTGAGCTGGAAGTAGCGCTTCTTCCACGATTTGATCTGCCCGCCCTCCTGTGCAACGCCAACGATGATGCAGTGATGGTGGTGAGACGCATGCTGCTCATGCTTGCTGAACGCAGCGACACAACCCAGAGCACCCACCCAACGCAAAACACTCTCCACACAAGACACAACAACAAACGCAACACAAGCCACCCGCCAAACACAAAACACGCAACAAAACACAACACATCCCTCCCCCCCCTTTCCACCCCACCTCCCGGCTCACCTTCCAGAGCCAGCCGCAGACGATGATGCTGTTGTGAATGGGCACATCCACGTCCTTGCTCGCTGTCCGACTCACGCTTCCTGCCCGCTCCCCCATATGGCCCTGCGCCATCGCCGCACCATCACCGTGCCCAGTGCCGACCACATCCCCATCAACAACGCTGCGAACACCACCAGTCGCAGCAGCAGCGGCGGCGTGCTTTGAGACACTGCCTGTACGGGCGGCAGCAACACTGCCATCAGCACCGCTGGCGGCAGTTGCACTGATGCGGTCCCCATCGTCGCCGTCATCGGCGTCGTCGTCGTCTTCGTCGTCCTGCTCCGCCAGCGACTGGAGCGCCTCCACCAACGCATCTTCCTCCTCCTCGTCGCTCGTCGTGTCCTCGTCTGCACGACGGGGGTCGATGGAGCGGTGACGGGGTGTGATGGGGTGGTGTGATGGGGTGGTGTGATGGAACGTGATGAAGAGTGGCAAAGCAGCAGTGAGAACTCACAAAAGCTTGTACACACGAGTGCATCTATGCATCTGGAAAAATCACATCAGCTATGCACACACACACACACACACACACACACACACAAGTACACACACACAAGTACACACGCACACACACACAAGTACACACACACACACACACAAGTACACACACACACACAAGTACACAAACACGCAAGTACACACACGCAAGTACACACGCACACACAAGCACTGACCGAGGTCGTCTGGTGGGGGCTGGGAGATGGTGGTGGCGGCACGGTCATCCTCGCTCGCGCTGTCGGCACTCAAGACAACCTGACAAGACAGCAACACATGAGCACGCACTCTCGAGTTCATCACAAACAACACTCTCCACGGCACACCCCTTCCTACTCCTCTTCTCGCCTGCTCCCCCTTCTCCCCATCTCCCAGATCTCGCCCCTGACCTTTCTGCCGTCTGGGAACTCCTTCACGATCTTGTCGGAGCTGGCGCTGCGGATCATCTTTGTGCCATCGGGCCTGCGTGCACACCAGCGTTGATGCAGTCGTCAATCACCCTACTGGTGCTTCGAGCACTGTCCATACGCAGTCACGCTGAGCGCATGCCACACTTACTTTGTTTCGACAACGACGCCGTTTGGCAGCGAGATGGTCTGCGCACCATTGGGACTGAACATGTCGGGCACCCGGGTAAGGCGATGAGGGTGTGAGATCTCATGCACCGCGTGCCCCTCGGTGCTCCAAAAGCACACACACACACACACACACACACACACACACACACACACACACACACACACACACACACACACACAACAACAACAACAACAACAACAACACACACACACACACACACACACACAC